GCAATACAATGTAAAATTGTCAATGCTTTCAAATTTTTCATGTAGAGATGGCTGGTGTTGCCAACATAGTTACTAAATTTATGACTTGGGGAATTATCTTTAAAAAAAAAAAACAGAGTTTAGTTTCCCTTTTTGTTACGCTATTTCACTAGAAGGAAACGCTGTCGCAGTTAAAGAAAACATATTTCACATTGAAGAGACGGAATATAAAATAATAGAAATTCAAGCTAATATCCGTCGATGTTAATCTCATACTCCAAAGGAATGTGAGCTGATGGCTCCCTACATTAGAACGTCAATGGTCACCTGACGTCACACCTGTTTTTGCCATAAGCTTCACCCTCTCTTGCTCCTCATACGGAAAGTGTCGGATTAAAAACAATGAACAATACAGCAGTAAAGGTACGGTTTGTTAGGGCAGTGCGTGACGCACAACTCACATTCTTTCGAACGCCGCATACGTCTGCTGAAATCAACCTACTGTAAATTATATAGACCGGTTTGTTGGCTTTGCGCAGGTGAGCGCGACGTACAGCGTCAGCAGTGTGTCAACATCATGCTAAACAGATTCTGCTGACGTTTACGTTGTGAGTTGTGCGTTGCGCAGTGTCCTAACAAACCGTACCTTAAGTGTGAAAACAAAAGCATACACATTAACCATATGTGCTGCCTATATACTACCGAAGCAAAATCAATGTCTTGATTTTCTCAGAAAGTTTGGAAATCGATTTAAAGTTGAAGATGTCCCCCAAAAGCTCCAGTATATTACCTAATTTCTGGGGATATAATTTTGACTTTGGAAAGTTGTAGAAGATGAGGGAAAAGTCTGTTCCGCAGTTTTCCTCGATGTAGCTCAAGCACTTGATCAAGTTTGACATAAAGGACTAAACTATAAATTGAAACTGTTTCTGCCAAAACAATATTTTGATATTTTGGAATCATAAATTGTAATAGACATTTCAGAGTCAAACTAGGAAAATTTTCAGTCATTTTTACGAAAAATAAAATCAAGTTTACCTCAGAATAGTGTGCTAGGCCCCTATAGTTACCTATATTTATCATTTACTTGCGACAGCCCAAAAGCAGAACATTGTCATTCAGCAACATTCGCCGATGATACTGGTTTAATTACAGTGGAAAAAACTATTGAACAATCAACAGAAAAACTGCAGAACACTGTTATTGAACCACTGAAGTTCAAATTGGGGACAAAAAATGGCGAATAAAATTAAATGAAACCAAAGGTTGATTTCACAAACAAAAACAATAATTACATACAAATCACGATTAATAACACTCCTATACCATATTCAAATCAAGCAAAAAATCTTGATATGACGCTTGATGCAAAATTTGGAAAGCACGTGTTAAAAAAAAGAAGGGAAGAGCTTGAATTGAAGTACAGAAAAATGTACTGGTTAATTGGAATTTGGAACGAAGTCCAATTTAACCATACATAAGTTACTGCTTTATAGGCGAATACTGAAACCAGTAGATATGGGCATAGGTATGGTATTCAACTTTGGGTTTGTACTAAAAGAGAGTAACATACAAGTTGTAGTGACTATAGAAATTTTAATCAAGAATAACAAGGACTTACCAAATAACCATCCCAGGAGAGATCATCACTTAGACAGCACAACCAGAAACTTCAATTAAAAATTATCTGAACATCAATATCCAGAAATTATTGAAAGCCGATACTCTATACCTATTGACTAATACATTGGAATGTGAATAAAGCAAAAGTTCATGGACCTTTTTTGAAGTGCTTTCAACAATTAACATTCCAAAGGAGCCGAAAAATTTCTAAAAGGATCAATAAACCATGCACGAGCCTATATGATGATACTCACTTAACAAACCACTTAGCGACGCCCTTGATAATTAATTAAAAGGGGACCAAATATACTAATTGATCGGATGATTCAACCACGAAAAATCGAGGTCAGAAACAATAAAGAATTTCAAGACATTGGAGGGACCAATGATATAAAAAGGCAACTTTGGCAGGAGAAAACTAGTGTTCGAGAAAACCAGTGTTCGTGAAAGATCAGTGTCGGTTGAGTAATCAAGAAACAAGTAGTAATCGAGAATCGAGAGACCTGTGTCCAGAAAGTCAGAACTACGGCGTGAAATATTTGTCGAATTAACCGAGAGAAGAAGCACGACGTGAAATAACAGCGCGAAAATATTCGAGTTTTCTATTAAGTGTTCATAGTTAAAGTAAATTCCTTCGACCATTAAGATTTCCATGTAATTAGGTGTGGCCAGCAGTAAATATAAACTGGTGGACAGTTGCTTTGCAACATGGAAAATTTTACCCAAATTCAAATCTCGATATTTTCGGAACGGAAAGAGATATCGAGTTGCGGTATCCGGGAGATTATTCACCAACTCTTTGAAAGCACGTTACAGTACGACCAGTATATTTCTTTCATTTATCCACTTATACAGGGTGAGCAAAGGAAGGCATGTTTTTTAAGCAAAGTTTGGGGCTATGTCAGATTCTCAATTTTTGACCTTGGAAATTTTTCTATGCATCTTTTTGATCTTTGGACTATCCTAAAATAGTATATTGTGTATTTAGGTGGAAAAGTGACACATTCTTGGCCGACGGTGTAAGTTGACGGGCGAGGCGTAGCCGAGACCGGCAAACACCGAAGGCCGAGAATGTGCTTTTCCTACGAAATACACATAGGTACTATTTTTTCTGCGATCGCTTATATATCTGTTAAATGATTGTCTTTTTGATCCAATTATTCGGCAGTACGAGAATCACTTTCCCGACCTAGGCCGGAAAAGTTATTCCCGTATTGTTATTCATTGATTCCTTAGCAACTATTGAAACATAATTAAAATACCAGAATATTGAGCTTTGCAACCTGTCAACCGGTCAAAAATGCTGACATTTCTTGACAATCGCAGAAAAAAAGTAATTTCTCAAATTTTTGGCTATAACTTAAATTACCAAATTTTTAAAAAAGGGTTACATTTATCCCCAAAAAAGGGACCTTTTCAGTTTTCGGGGTTTCTCTTGGGAATGGGTTTTTTTTCTCGTACTGTTGCATAAAGTGGAATTTCTTGGGCCCGAGAAAAGATTGAAGCACTTATCGAACGTTATTGCCTGCACTGATATGCAGAAAAAATTTGCTACTTTACATTATGTAATTTAAACCGAATTTATCAATCATTAAGCTGATTAATTGCATAATTAATTGTATTATGCAATTAATCAGCTTAATGAACAAATCCAAGTTACTACTCTTGATACAGGGGTGTATTCCAGTGGCGTAACACCAAGACCATTTTTTGGTTTGGTAAGAAGTGCTGATAACTTGAAAATTGTTATTTTTTTAAATGCTATGATGATGGCCAACACTGGCTGCTTACGAACTAACCATTTTCTGACCTAACTTGAAGAGAAATAACTGAGTTGCACGTACGATTTGACACAACTAAGTAAGAATCTTACCTCCCTCTTTATCCCTGCTAAGACACCCGTATTTTCGACTGAGATATCTTTGTTGTTGTCAAATTTTACAACTTTGACATTTCAGTAGGTATATTTTGGTCAGCTTATTGCGCGTACGATCAAACAACTTATTTGCCTTTCAGATATTATTGGCGTAGCATTATCCATGGAAATTTGGCAGGTTGAACCTCGTTTAATAATGACAGTATATGTCAAATTCCAGACAGTTTTAAGTGTATTTCACATAATTTCGTAAGTGTCGCAGTATTTAAATTCTCTGGCCTATCTGGCCAATCAAATTTGACACATTTGTCAATATATTTTTCAATAGTGCAATATACAGTGTCATTACTTAAGTGTGCAAAATATGGGATTTTTTTTTAGTAATAGCACAATCAAAATACAAACAAGGCCAAAAGTTGGTGCATGTCTGATAATCATATTAGGTGCACTTAGAATGGTTGCAAGTCAAACAGCATACAGGGTGGCTCAAAAAATATCAAAATTCTACTAATATCTACTTAAATAAAATAAAACTTTTGCACTTCAAGGAGAGTTTTTTTAATATGGCTATTATCATTAGTAATGTTTTAACTTGTTGAAAAAAAAAGTTGCGACATTTCAAAGTTGTGTTGAATATCATTGCAACAAACATGAATTTTGTGATTCCATAAAAAATTAAAAATCTCAGTTAATTTTACAAATATGCTTGAATTTGAACAAAGTTTTGTAAAATTGATTTGATTTTAATTGATTTTTGAAAGTATTAAGGGCGGAAATAAAAAATAAAAAAAATATAGAAATTATAGATTCTTTTCGAAGGAAAATAAAAAAAATCTTAGGAGGTTATGTTTTGGTATTAAGGCATAACTTTTAATTCCAAACAACTTTTCTTTATAACATTTTGCTGAATTTTCTAAAATAAGGGTACTTTACAGTACAGCTTTGATATTGTTTGAGCTACCCTGTATACTGTTTGACTTGCAACCATTCTAAGTACACCTTATATTATTATCAGACATGCACCAACTTTTGGCCTTGTTTGTATTTGGGTTGTGCTATTACTAAAAAAAATGCTAATTGCTAATTTATCCATTTCAAAAATTGCAGCTTCATGCAAATATAGGCAAAAGTATCTTTCTAACAATCATGTTTATTCTTCGATAATGTCATCCAAATTGCTGAATTTCTTTGTATATAAACTTGAAATTTGCTGGAGTACCACATATCCAACAATATACATACTCACTGCAGTTTATTAAATGCTGCCCATCAAACTCAGAATTTAATGTCAAAAAATTATAGAACCCGTTTCTGAAATACAATACCTACCATTTCCATACAACCTTGTGAAAATTACTAACCCTTGCATGTATAGAAAATTAGTTAAATGTTTACAGTACCATAATTCGTTGCTTGTTCGGTTGAGGTTTATTAAATGGTTTTGGCACTCACTGTCTTTTTAAGGCAGAAGAAAACACATTACAAAAACATAACTAATACAATTTTATACGTAATTTTTCAGGTACTACACTTTTGTTGGAAAACCTCATCTGGCCCATACCATGACGACAACCAACGCCACTCGCACCAGTCACTATTCTTCCACAAACTATTCGACAACGGACACAGCCGTAACGGACAGGACAAACGTGAGCAATGGCAATGGACGAGGAAGACCCGAGGAAATGGCTTTGAGAACTGTGACATGAATTTATTAAATATACATTTCGGGTACTTAGTTTGTAGCCAATCGAAATCGCTGCAAATGCTGTTAAAATTAAAATGGATTATTTTAAAAGGATTTTACTCAACATTCATTTTGAAAATATAATATACTAACACTATAAAACTGACTAACACTAACCCATGCAAAAGCCAAGAGAACATGGTTGCTTGCCATGGTTGTTACTTGCTGGACAGAAAAAAAAACAAACTTTATTCCATATGGGCATTTCGATTGGCTAAATCACATCGCCCGTTATTAAGAGGCTTGTTAATTTCTGATTTGAATCATGGGGGTATAAATCTTGATATTTTTTCAATACCAAGATAAGAATGTTGGCCATTTAACGTTTGAAAACAAGCTTTGACGAGGAGAAATCCTTCTGAAGAAAATGTGCTGAAACATGGCTTTAAATACTTAAAAATTGTAGAAATTTAGAAACTTTTTTTGTTCCCTTTAAGATGTATTCATTGATTTGTTTGCTTCCTTCTAAAAATTTGATTTTTCATGATCTAATGTGAGTATACCTATTTACACCTACTTTTTGTAAAAATTATGTTTTTATTAGCCAACATTCTTAATTCTTATTCTAACCCTGAAGATCTGTCATTGGAACTTTATCAAGATTTGATGAGAAAACTGAAAAGAAATGTACCTCATCAAGTACATAATACATGTTTCTAATTAATCACTTCTAATTATTTGTTAAATTTCAAGTCCCTTGAGCCTTGAATGCAAATGAGGCCCGACGAGACAGTCAGAGTATAGAAATGAAAAACTTTGATCATTTGCTGTGAAATTTTGAAGCAATCCATTAGCTTTTAGGACATAATGAATGCATAAATATTATGGTATTGGATTAATTGTTCTTAATCAATGGAGCGTCATATATAAAGCCTTATTAACAATCAAGCTCAAGTGAGTTTGCAGCTTTGAAGCTCTACACGTTACATACAAAAAACGGAGCCTAAATTTGAAAGCCTACAATAATAACTTCTAAAAAGAGTTCAAATTCTAGTCAACAGATTGTTGTTTTCGTACTTAATTTTTTTTTTAAATTCAAAGTATTTTTTTAGTATTAGTCTTTGGTATTATTTAATTTGTTTTATGAAACTTCCAGTTGCCATAATAAAATGTATTATAGGGTACTAGTGTGTTGCCCGATTATTTTTAATTTACCTAATTGCTTCGATGGAAATGCATAGTTGTGGTTGCAAACAATAGACTTTCTTGTATTTGCCATTTTTATCCTTTAAACTTTGTCTATGTATATAATGACCTTATACCCAATAATTTTAAACGCATTTTATTATTTGTTAGCTTTTGTTTAAATAATATTTAAGCTGTAAATAAGCTTGCCTTATATCAGTTTGGATATCTTAGAATTGATAATCATAAATTATGTGAATGTTTCTTATCTTAAAGGGCTTCAGACTACATAATAATATAAGTTACATATATTTTTGAGAATGTATTTAATTTCTATTGTTGAATGGGTAATAACCCTGAAAATGAAAACAGCTTAATCAAAAGTGAAGCTAGACGTAACCGGAGACTGCAGAATAATTCCATTCATCAATCCTAAGATATCATCAAATATAATGAGCTTGTATTCATGCAATATCTAAGCTTAGTATAATAATAATTTAGTTCTAATATAAATTATAATCCAGTATTGTATTTTTGTTTGTTCCACTTTATATTGTATGTTTCTGCTCTCTTTCACCCATTATATTGAATAATTCATCACAAAATTTCACGTATCATTGATTAGAATTAAGTAATTTACAAGATCAATGTGATGTATATGTTAATCTTACGCTTAATAAAAATCATAATCTTTAGTGATGTTTTTTTTTTATGGGATCAAATAACAACAAAATTTCTTTTTGTTTTATTTCAATCCTTTATTGAATACCAATTTACATCTTAAAATTTAAAAAAAGTAGTGGTTATCAATGGAACTAATTACTAACAAAAAGTATTTACAAATTTTAAAATGCCTAATAATAAACCCTACACCTACTCAAGCAAATGAATTTTCGCCGTCTGCACCTGCTCCATCAGCGTCCTCTAAAGACGAAAAGTTTAAGAAATGTGCAGGTCTGTGTACTTCATGGTAGAACTCCTTGGGGTTTGACAGTTGAAGTTCGTACTTCATGCTGGCATCGTGTCTCACACCTAAAATTTCATTTATATTGATTGAAAATCCAAATAAAATACAACAATTTTGCAATTCTGTATACAAATTTCAAGAATTGATGTTCTCATTAATTATTTTAGGACAAATTTGTATGCACTGTGATGCATACATTCTTTTTAAAATAACAATTTTCAAATTACGGATGAGCTTAGAAATGTTTTCATTGACTGTTGAAAAATCACTAAAATTGGTCAACAAATGAAGAACTTACAATATTAGGGGTTTGTATATACTCACCCATAAAGTTATAATTCCAAGGACCTTGAGATGGAACCATAAAGAACCCTGTAAATCTGTCCGACAGCAACATCTGAACCTTTTCATAATGGCTTGGCAAATAACCTTTAGGATTATTACCCTTATCAGTATTCTGTCTGCCCCACTCAAAACCAGATGGTGTTAGCTTGTAAGCAGTCAACGAACAAGAGCCTGGAGTAAACGAGCAAGTAATTATGATAGTCTTTTCCCCGTCCCAAGCCGGGTTGTCGGTCATCAATTTAGCATGGGTAGTGATATCCTGGGGAGAAAGTTGGGGCAATTCGTTGGGTTGGGTGTGGATCCACCCTAAAGGTTCCATATCTTTTAGGAAGGGATGGTTTGGTGGAGTGTTGGGTAAGTGGACAGTTTGATGGGTTCCCCATTGTGGAGCGAGTACCAAGCATCTTAATTCTTTAACTTGGGGATTATCTGGAGGACTGACACCGTAGAGGAATGCGCAAATCTGGAAATAAAACAAAAACGACACTTGTTATACCTAGTAGAAATATTTTGAAGTTAAAATGATGATTATCAAGTTTTTTCGATTTTTGGTATTCAGCTCTGTGCAGTTAGGGACATTTGACTTTAAAATTTACGTTGAAATAATTTTAATAAATAGGTACCTATTTACTTCTAAGATTAATAGATTGGTGTGAAGTGATAACTCCTAATTAGGGAGAAAATTAATTGAAATTATTTTCCATTTCACATTGGGTAACATTGTTTTTTAAAAATATCCAATAAAAAAAGTTTGTCTCTTTGGATTTGGAAGAAAAAGGTTACGGGTGAATAGGTCGTGTTTCAATACGTTTCGGAATTTCAATAATTTCTTTGTGTAATTTCTTCTTCTCTTCTTCAAGCCTTGTCATTTACGAACGTTGGCAATCATCAGCGCTATCTGTACATTATGAACTTGAGACTTCTCAAGCTCATAATCAAGGGAAAAATACCTACTTAGGTATTTTTATCATTCCTGAGTATGTGTCCGAGTATTCTAACTTTCACTTTGTGAGCGTAAACATAACTTCAAAATATAGCTTTTTACACATTGCGTCTGTCCATATGAGGAGCGACGTCAGGTGACCATTGGCGTTTTAATGTAAGGTGCCACCAGCTCACATTCCTTTCGAGTATCAGATTAAAATCGACGGACTTTAAGAGAGAATATTGAAGATGTAGCAACGTAGTACTCGAGTGCGAACAGAGAGAGCGAGAGACCTCGACTACACAACACGGACTTCATGGTTACAAATGACGCTCCGGCTTGTTCAATCCTGGCACAAACCTCCTGCATGTTATCCCATGCAGTCTTCATTAACCTGACATCCTATGTATCTGTATGATTGAACCCGATCGACGATCTGCTGGTTCTGTACCTGAAGAACACGTTCTCCAATTTGGTTCTTACTAATCGCCATCCATTTAATTTCTTTGGCGTTCAATTTTAATCCAAATTCTCCACATCCACGTACATCTCTTCAGTGTCAACTGGATGTTTGCTACAAGCGAATTGCGATCCGAATTTATATCTGCGCCAGGGTAATTCTTTGCAGCTTTGATGCAATTCCTGTAGCGTTTATTTATCAGCACGAACTCAATTTGGTTTCTGACAATTCTGCCTGGCGTATGAGCGACTAAGGAGTGTAGCTAAAGACGTCCTGGTGGAAATTGGAAAAAAATGTTTGAAATCACAAAACCCATTTGAAATTTGAATGATTTCTCGACTTTTGCCGCCAATCGTATAGACATTTTCGCTAAACCAACCGAACAAGACACGTTTACTAACATGGTATTACCAGAACGCGCAGGGGATAAGGACAAAGCTCAAGGAACTTTCCTAAGCATTGCTGTTGGATGAATATGGTGTTGATAAGCTCTCAGAGACCTGGCTCTATGTCGATATTTTGAGTGATGAATTCAAATTTAATAATTATCATGTGTTTAGATGTGATAGCTCGACTAGCACTTTTGAATAAGGAGGTATTCTTATTGCAGTGGATAAAGCCTTTTCAGCCGTGTGATTACATACTTCTATTAATTATTTGGAAGAACTGTCTGTTCATCAATTGAGGAAGTTCAACTGAGATAGGATCTGTTTGTGTCGTGACTTCAAATCTTCCTGAAATTAAGTGAATGTGTGATGACAGGGGTGTCTCAGTGTTGAATGTTATCTGTGAATGTTATTTCGCCCCAGGCCTCTGTTATTGTTGATTTTATGGTCTACTTAAATTTATTTCAAATGAATAATATTTCAAATGCTTTGGGATCTGTGCTGGACCTTGTTTTTTATAACTCTCAAAATTTAATGATTGATATTTGTAGTAGTCCACAATTACCATGTGATAAGTATCACCGAGCTCTATTATTTGAACTAGACATGTCTGTGACCAATGGTGATAGTAGGTATGTCTTTTGATCATAAGTATTTTGATTTTCAGCATGCAAATTATATCGAACCCAGGGGTCAACAGCTGTGGATTTCTAGTGTACACTCGTGTAGATTTCCATGGATTTCTATAATTCTTGTGGATGTCTAGAGATTTCAATAAATATTCGTGGATCTCGTTGGATTTCTGTGGATGTCCATGTATATTTGTGGATTTCAGTAGATTTCTGCTATCAAAATCTGCCCTTCATTGTCTCGCTGTTTTTGGACAAATAATAGGTTTGATTCCAACAATGTCTCAAAACGATGGGAACATAATATGAAAGAAAACTAGGAGAGGGGGGGGTATAAACTTACTAGATTTCTCCAGTGATGGCGATACTCGTTTATCGAAAGCAATGCGCCAGCATACTTCACTCCCACCAGCGCTTCAAACACAGACTAATGGCAGCACAAGGTATATACAGGATATGCAGGATAAGATAGGAATAATTTTTCAATTCTTAATCCCAAAACGGTTGTAACAATGGGAACATACAGTGCGGCCGTAAAGTAAGGAATAAATTCAATAATTATTCTTCTGAGCAATTTTTTTCAAAATCCTCGAACACGTCAATTTTATTTTTTGTCGAGCATTTTTTATAAAATAAAATTATTATACAGGGTGGTCGCAGATAAGCTGAACAGGTAATAGCTTAATTTTTTTAAATGGACACCCCTAATTTTTTTTACATTTTCGGATTTCTGATAAAATTCTAAGTGTTTTTCATGAAATCTGTGCTATACCTATCTTCAACTGTTTCGGAAATATTGACAGTTGAAAATTGACTTTACTGCAACTTTGACAGGCAGTAAAACCTAAACGGGTAATTTTAGAGGAAAACCGATTTTACATTCCTGTTTTAGATTTTTATAAACTATCATTTGACACCAGCTTTGAATTTATCCGGAGATTAAATCTATGGTGAGTGGGCTAAAGAGTACAAGTCAAAATTAGACAAATCAAGAAAAATGCTTTCGAAATATTAGACTTTAAAATAATCGGATTTTTTGTGGCTGTTTCGGACGAATCAAATTTTTAACTTTACAAAGGTGTTTTTTTATTAGAGATAATCTATTTTTTTATTTTTTTTTTGTTCTGTTTTTTTTTTATTACAAAAAAAATGGACTTATACTCTTTTGACCAGACCTATAGATGACATATATTATTATGAAATAAGATAATATGACTTATAATAGTTTGACCTGACCTAAGAAATGACTTATACTAGTTTTGCTCAACCCAAAATTTAATATTTGCAAAAAACTGGAAAAGAAGGCCAACTCTTTTTCACAAAACACTTTTTTTTTGCTGATAACATAACCTCTTTGGTCACCAAATGGTACTAAAAGTATAAGTCGACCGACAAAATCAGAATAGGAATAGTATAAGTCTACTTGTACTATTTGAATTTTATTATTAGTGTATAATCTATATAGTACAATTCAACTTATACTGATATGCCAACAGAATAAAATTCCTTTTAAGTTAAACTATGTGGATTGAAATTAAAAGTAAAGTATTTCAAATAAATTGACTAATACTGTTTGGACCAGTCGATGTAGGAACCGAAAATATATACCAAAATGACTTAAACTCATTTTCGCAAAATTTTGACTTGTACTCGTTAGCTCACCCACCATAGAAATATAACTGGAAATTTTAATCATAGATTAAATTCAAAATTGGTGTCAAATGATAGTTTATGAAAATCTAAGACAGGAATGTAAAATCGGTTTTCCTCTAAAATTACCCGTTTAGGTTTTACTGCCTGTCAAAGTTACAAAAAGTCAATTTTCAATTGTCAATATTTCCGAAACAGTTGAAGATAGGTATAGGACATGTTTCATGAAAAACACTTAGAATTTAAGCAGAAATCCGAAAATGTAAAAAAAATTAGGGGTGTCAATTTAAAAAAATTAAGTTACTACCTGTTCAGCTTTTCTACGATCACCCTGTATAATTATTTTATTTTATAAAAAATGCTCGACAAAAAATAAAATTGACGTGTTCAAGGATTTTAAAAAAAATTGCTTGGAAGAATAACTATTCAACTTATTCCTTACTTTACGTATGTACCTACTGTATTTTGCAAAACCTGCGCATATGGACCAGCTAATCTCATATTTTTCAAAAGACAAAAATTTGTTAACAGCCTCAGATTTAAAAGGCGAAGATAAGATGTGCTTCAAGTCTGCGGGAAAGATGTGTTCTGAATTAGTAAATTAGTTGCTCAGAAGTATTCCAGGACATGATAATCAGGCCTATGATGTATCATTTTCTGTTATTTTAACAGCAACGTTAAGTTATCTGTCACTGTTTATTATTCTACACCTAGAAATAGAGACAGGTATAGATTTTGAGCTATAACACAACTGTTAAAATGCTGGACAGGATATATCATAGGCCTGAATAAGGCAATTTGAATTATCATCTTACTTGGACCCTGCGTTAGATGTACAAGACCGGCTTCTCAAAATATGGTTTTTTGTATTTTTTTTTGCGGATTTGGCGCAGATGGCTAACTGATCAGCCATGCCTCAAGACTGGTGATAACTTTATCACCTCAAATTGTAACCTATGTAGCTCATGCTCTTATCAATATTTCCACTAATTTCTTTGAAAATCCAAATCTGATACGGATGGTCGGATGGATACGTTATCACCATACCTGACACTAGAGGATTTCTCACTAAGGCTGATGCCAGAAGAAAGAGATACCGTTTTTGAAAAAGTACGAGTAACAATATCCCACAGGAAGTTGACCGTCTTTTAAAAAATCTTCATTATGTTGGCTATGGCTATGGCGAAGAATTTTCTCAACAAAGTCAGAAACGCTAAGAAAAAGCACTATTCATGGTTCTATTAAGCCCAAAAAAAAGATTTTACCAAATAGAACAAAGATTACAAAGAAAGCGCGACTGTGCTCATCTATTCGTCGCAGGAAGACAAATAAAAAATCAACTAACTCCAAAACTTCAGACAATGACCAAATGAGTGTCAAATACGATGACAGCACAGACACTAAATCTTTTTC